TGGGAAGGGGATTAAGAGGTGGGGAAACAGGGAAACATGAAATCGTTGTGAAAACCTCTCACGGCTTCACGAATTTTGAAGTATCTGAAGGTAGCTGCACTGGCTCGCCATGACTCTTGTATTAGTCGCTGCGAGAAGCCTCGAGCGGAGGCACCAGGCCGTGATGCGAAGGTTTGTGTGGACGAGCTGGGTCCCAGCGTGGGCCGGCAGCTTACGGCTGAGGGCTGTGGAGTTGGCTTGTAGATGTGGTGCTAGGGGAGGCCTTTGCCTCAGTGCCGAATTTGGCTTTGCTGATTCTAGGTTTTATTCCGATTTGCCGAGGTGCCACGGGGGAAGACTTTTATCCTCACGCTTGTCTGGAACTGCTGGCTTCATGTCTGGGTTGACTGTTTGGTCCGACATCTCCCCGAGTAGGCCTGGCACGTGTTGAACGATTCGTACTTCAGATCAGGGCAGAAAGCCTTCAAGGTGCGAAGACTGCGGAGATACGGCCGGCGCCTGGTGAGGCTGGAGTGGTGGTGCTGGGGGTTTTGGACGGCTCGACAGCCATTGCAAGCGCCGCTTCGATTCGCCGGGGTGGCCGAATGCGGGGAGTGTCTCTGCTGCCAGGTGTCTGTCAGCCAGCGGCAAGGCGCATGTGAGGGATCGTGAGGGTAGGCAGCCACCCAAACAACAGACGGGAAAGTTTAATCTCGGTCCGAGGATCGTAAGTCACGGTGTCGGGTCCGAGCAACTCGAAACAGTTCGCGTCGTCAGTGCCTCGTCGCAGCCTGCAGGAACCTATCAAGCCGTTGAATCTGCGGTGCAACCATGATGACAAAAAGAGGTTTTGCAAAAGGGCTGAGTCATCTTACCAACTCTCTGGAACTGGCCTGCTGGGCATTGACTCTCAGAATCTGCAGAGGCCCCGAGGTGCCCAAGGCTGCCGGCACCACTGTTGCAGCACCCTTTCCGGGGAGGGAGGCTGGGACATTTCGCCGGGTAAAGGGAGCCGGGAGCCGAAAAAGCCAAGCGTCCAGGAGTCTGCGCCGGCGCCTGCGCCTTCGCCCTCTCCGCCCTCGACGCTCAAGGCAGCGAAGACCAGCAGCAAGCTGATTCGATTGGGCATGCAGGGAAACAGACGCACCTCTTCATCCCATGTTCACAGAAGCAGGTATGCACCAGCCAAACTCTGTGCCAACAGCCCTGCCTTAGGACACCTGCAGAAGTACTTAGAGACGAACAGAAGGAAGCCTTCAGTCGTGTAGAGATGTGTCGAGCACAAGCCCTCGATGGTCGACGCTCGGTGAAGCCTTTCGGCCAAATGCATCCAAATCCTGGCTTCCTACTGTCGGTGTGGAAGGTGCAGTCGGAGTGGATCAAGCAAGTGGTCGTCAGCTTAAGTACTCGTAGTATTAGAAGGCTGTGCGGCAAGTTGCACCTCGTGGCAGCTACTCGCGGAAAATATAGACGATGAAACATCCGGGCCATCGCCGCAGGGAGTTTGTCTTTTTCTGGGCCTAGTGGAGCCAGCGGCTCACTTTTTTCTGCTCGCATGTTTCCCAGTTTTTGGAGAAGTATCGTCATTCGCAGAAACCCGACAGACGACATACAGGAGCACACGAGCTCGTCTGAAGCTCAGTTTGTCTAGCTGAGGAAGCTTGTGCAAACACTTCCACTCAGTATACGAAGTATGAACATACATGCTTGCATGCCTGCAAGCATGCATGGCATACATGCGCATGCTGCAGACACGATGCGCTGTCCTGCATGATTTGCGTTCTGTCACTCAATCAGAGGCGCCCTCGCAAGCGGCGCCTGTGCCCTCTCAACCTAATGTCAAGGCCACAATCATGTTCGCACACAGAAGATATCTCGTACTTGCGAGCCGCAGGACTAGGACACAAGTCGTGATGTTTCATCCGTTTCATCCAGATAACAGCAAAGGCGGTTCCGGTGCCCGACTCGCCCACCCCAGTCTCGATTGAGCTTTGCTCCGGAAGCGAGGGTGCTGGCGTGTGTCAGGTGGCGACAGGACCTGCGTTTGCAGATGTTTGCAGGGAAAGCTCCAAGAGCTCCAAGTTCAGCGCAAAACACGTGGCGAAGCGATGCGTCCTGGCCAGTCCGTGCAGGCGCCAACGACGGCTCCTTCGCCAGAAGTTGCATCACCCAAGCAGGTTGAGGCTGTTCGCCGCAGACAGGGTGCAGGGACCTAGTGATAGATGCTGCTGAAAATTTTGCATGGCTTTGCGGAACAAGTCTTCGCTAGTCACACTCTCGTGTCATGACGGCATGTTGACGTCATCGCGACCTCACTGGCGCTTCTTCGTCTTTTCCACGAAGAGCAAGGGAGTACCACGTTATGCACCGCAACTTTGATTTTTGTTGAGAGTGCATGTGCGGAGATGTGCGGAGTGCACGTGCGATTTGGAGGCCACGAAGGCCGGGGAGGCGCCGACAGCCGCGACAGAAACGGTCCCAGCGGCCACTGCGGCGGCAGGAGGTCGCATGGGAAACTTCTGGGGTCGGATTTGCATTTCTGAGTCCACCAGGCAACTTGGAATGTGCCATGCGGTTCTGTAAAAAAGTAACCCAGAAGGGCGCTCAGTATTTTGCGGCTTTCCTGGAATTTGCGGGGGGTCCCGGCCCAGAGACTTCCTCTCTGACACGGGGCCCGTCCTGTTTTTCGCCGAGCCGTGACAGGAACTCTCCTCTGCCTCTCTCTCTTCTCTTCAGGCTGTTTTAAAGGGGGATGTCATGCGTGTTGAGGTCTCCTTACTTGTGGAATTCGGAAAGAGCTGGCGAAGTCCACTCCAGGCGATGCGGCAAGCGGCTGGGACTCTGACGATGACGACGACTGGCGTGGAACGTGCCCTGGCTATCAACCTGCTGCGTCTTCACGGCTTCAGGCCAGCGGTCGCGTCGTGTCTTCTTTGTTTTTGCCTTGGCTTGGACGTTTGATTGCACTGTCACGAGGGCATTGAAGCCTGTCCACCATGAGGCTTAACATACTCGTGCAGCACACCCACGGATGAAAAGTGGCAACTCCATACATACGCGTACTTCGCTCGTAGTTGTCTTGAGGCGGTGTCTACGATTGGACCTTTACTTCTGCCGATCCGCATCACGGGGTTGTTGGGGCTTCTCGTAGTCCCGATTCCAACCATCACCTCATAATACTCAAGGAAACACCCAGTCGTCGCAAAGATGGAGTAAGCAAACAGCCACTGAATGTTCCAGCTGTGTGCTTCAGCCTGTGCTTTTTTACATCCCAGGATCCTGTCAGCCTCCTTTCGTTCCAATCTCCATAAATCCCAGACTCAGACCCCCAAAAAGGATTGTTGCAGGCAAGATTCCTGTCTGAAGATACAGAGGACGGTGGGTCCCTTCCCTGCAGGGGCTTGGGGAAATTGTGCCTGACCCGTGGTCTGAGGCAAGCAGCTGGAAGCCCTCCGCAGGTCATGTCGGTTGCACTGGAGCTTTGCAGTGATGGCTTGAGCTTTAGGGTTTGATGGGTCTGGCAATCTTGCAGAGTCCACTTGGGGCATTCAACATTTTGGCGCGGACTTCCTGCGGAAGTCATCGGATTTGCAGCATCTTCACGGCGGGGGCCTTGTTCTTCCAAGTCTTATGGTCTCAGGTGACGGAAACTCCGGCTGCCGACGCGGCTGCCAAGCCGGAGGCCAGAAAGCGGCTGAAGCGATAGCGGCGATAGCATGGCTGACGGATCTTTCTGCAGGGGTCCACTTCAGCGGTCGCCACGCCGCCAGCAGCGGCGCCACGCGCCCGGGCCTCGATTTGAGACGCCTGCCGCCGCACCGCATTTTTCTCCGTGGTGAATTTTGGGGCACCCCCCAACTTTGCATGCAGCTCTCTTCATCCTCGTGCGTCAAGATCGACAGCAGGAATGACATAGAGAGCCGGTTCAATGAATGATTCGTCTGGTGGTGTTGATGCCAAAGTCGGCAAATGTCTTCTTGTAAGCGGAGAGCGCTCGTTCCACGCCCTGCATCGCCGGGAGTGTCTGCTTGTTCAGATGACAGAAAAGATCCTGAAGAGATGGTGCCGTTGTGTGGTGCATGGTGACGGCCTGTGTAGCATCCGAAGCCTCGCTGAAGCGCAACAGCCTTTGAAGTGGCTGAGCAGCACCAGAGAATCTGGACTGGTCCCCCCTCCGGAAAACTCAAAACGCCAGCGTGCAGAGTTGTTCCGTGCCGTTCTACGCACATAGCAAAAGCTTGTCGAGAGTCAGTGCTAGAGCAGGGACCTCGTGTTCCAACAATCTGTTCGTTCACGTGTGCTTTTCTTCATCACCAAGTTCTATCTATCTATCTCTATCTATCTAATCTATCTATATTATAGTATATAGATAGATTAGATAGATAGATGGATAGATAGATAGATAGATAGTGCGATAGAAGCGGACAGCTCCCCAGACTGGTTCATGTTGGAGTAAGGGGTTGTTCAGCACGGAGTTAAGCAAAGATCATGGTATTCTCGGGCACAGCCCAGCTTGAGGTAGCATGGTCGCAGGTAGTCGCCGTAACCTTGAAAATCTGAGCATGCACCGCAACCAACCGCGATTCTCTGGGAACCTCCTGTCGTCGCGAGAAAAAGCGTTGGCAACGCCAGCAGCCTGTTGTCAAGAGGTACAAGCAGTCGTTCCAGGGTTGTTGCATAAAGTGCCGCTAATGCCTTGGTCATCGGTGGGAAGGTAGGTGACGAGACGAAGTCGAATGAGCCGCTTGTTAGGGTCGCAATGCAAGTCCACTTGTGGTCGCAGGCGACGGAAACTCCGGCTACCGATGCGGCTACCAAGCCGGAGGCCAGAAAGCGGCTGAAGCGATAGCGGCGATAGCATGGCTGACGGATCTTTCTGCAGGGGTCCACTTCAGCAGTCGCCACGCCGCCAGCAGCGCCGCCGCGTGCCCGGGCCTCACTTCGAGCAGCCTGCTTCGAGCACGTTGGAAGATGTGCTTACGGCTGCACCGCATTTTCTCCGTGATTTTTGGGGCACTCCCGCTCCTCTCAAACTCTGCAGATAGACGAGCGGCTTCATCAGGATGCAGTTGACCTGCGATCGATGGACCATGCAAAGCGCAGATGCTCATGGAGTTTCGAGATGTTTGCACTACTCTGTGATTTCCGTCCGTTTCTCATACTTTCACGATCCAAGACTTTCGAGTGGAAAGATCCCGAGTCCCTCTCCAGCGGATTGCTAGTCTTTCGCTTGGTTTGCTCCTCTTTCTCAATGTTTCCTGTTGGTCAAATTCTCTTGTCAATAAATGCAAGGATGTGCTGACACTGTGCTCTGACCCGCTCCAAAACACCGTCCACATGAGCGCGCACGGCACCGACGACGACGACGACGACTGCTAACTGCCCCTGGTGCTCCTACTACTTCTACTCCCACTAGTCCTACGACTACTCCTACGAGTCCTACTCCTAGTGTTGCTACTCTTAGTGCTCCGGCTTTTTTTGGCCCTTGCAACACTTGCTTCCAGGAGCCACATGCTATGAGATTTTAGCTTGCTGCAAACGAACGCCGCCTCGCTACAAATACGGCTGCTAGTACCATCAGATCAGGAATTGATTTTTCTGATCCTGTCTATACTACCGCAACTGCTACTGCTACAGTAGCATCAGAAACTGGCTTGTTCTTTGCTATTGTTTCTGCAGATTTTATCCCCGAAGTTTAAAGTTTCGCATCCCAGTGTCAACCGAGAAGCATCTCAAGAGGACACTGATGTGAAAACCTTCGCCTTCATCCTTGTTGCCAGCCCAAACCGACGGCCATTCTTGAACATCTGAAGTGCCTGCACCGAAGCCCAGAGCTCTGAGCTCGAATCGAGATGCCCAGGATGAGCCTCTGCAAGAGAAGTCGCCCTCGAACCGGAGCACCACCTCGGACAGGCACAAGGCCCCTGCAACAAGAGCCACGCTTTCAGGTCCAAAAGGCTGGGTTTCGGGTCCGGTAGTTCAGGACGTGGGCTGTGGGCTGGACGCTTGTAGCCGAGATGGTCTGTTGCGGCTCGGTTCTGTACTGTCTCGCGCATTTCTAGACCTTCGAAACTTCCAGTTGAAAACCACAAACTTGCAACAGCGTGCAAGACGCTAAGGCATCTCTCTCTCTCTCTCTCTCTCTCTCTCTCTCTCTCTCTCTCTCTCTCGCTCGCTCTCACACACGTTCCTTCGCAAAAAGCAGGGAGCAGAGCATGCCTGCTGTATGCAAAGGCCGCCGCAGCCGCTAATGCTGCAACCAAAAAGGCCCGCGCCTTGGGAAGCGATGGGAAAAGCCCTAGGACGGTTCTGCGACTCCAGAACTTCCGTTAGGTGAGTGGTTCGTGGGGACCTCACTCGGTTTCTTTGCGGTACTCGGCTCGCAGATCCCTGAACTTGAGACCGAGGTGCCGGTCCAGTTGAGACCCGAGTCCAATTTCTAAGCGATCCGACGTGGAACAGGCCCGTTATGAATTTCGCCCCTCCGGCTAGCTTGTCCACCCCGAAAGCCACATTGCAACGACGTCAGCCTTAAGTTAGACTTGGAGAAGGTTAGGGCAACTTCGCACCCAGGCTCAGCCACGCAGGCAGCTTACATCCTTACAGTACAATCCGGAGACTGCCTGCAGCTCCGAATTTTCCCCATCCCGCGCATCGCATGCGCGCACACAACTTCCTGCCTTGGCGTTGGTGAGGTCTCCCGGTTCAGCCTTTGGGGAAGCGGCAGCACCAAGAGCAAGAAGTGAATTCTACTTCGGGACTTGGGGCTTCCTCAGTCCAGTCTGGACGCCGCGAGAAATTAATTCGTCGAGGTTCTCCATTGGCATCTCTTGCGTCTGTGTCTGGGTATTGCGCGGTTGGGGAGGACATCTTGTCGCATATGGTATGGTATGGTCTTAATCATTGCCATCCTTATTGCTACTTTGCACATCATTACTCTCATTGATTCATGCTATTCGCATTGCTCAAGGGAGCCTTGGTAGGAATCCCGGCAGATCTGGAAACCAGACACTGCCGGAATGAAAACGTAGCTAGGCCCAGGCAGGGCCGTGGTGGGCCATCCTCGGTCTTAGACTGTAGAAATCTGGAAGCCCCTATAGCCCTCACACAGAAGTAGTGGTTCGAACCATAAAGCAAACCCTATGTCAGCGATAGTGCAGATAGGGTTTGGGGTTTACACGTTTGACGGAGATGGAAGTACGTTAGATTAACGGTTGTCGCCACTTGTGGTGTCCGCGTCGGGGTCGAATCGTCGACGAAACCCAAAGCCCGAAGCAGCCACCCTTCATCCCTCAGCCCCAAAGCCATCAAAAGCCACAGCACCTTAACCCCAAACTCGAAAGCTCGAAAGCCCAAACCTCTAGCCTTCGATGAAAGTCGCCTTGGCCGAACTTGGACTCACAGCCCTGCTGAGTCGACAGCGTCAGCTTTGAGGGCTTCCCGCAGCCTCCGGGAGATGAGAGTCTCGGAGTAGCCGTGGTGGTAGTCGTGATGGTAGTGGTGGAGGGGACTGTAGATTTTTAGCTTTGCATTGTCGGTACTGCGTTTGTCTTACATGGCTTAGCTCCTAGACCAATCGTTGGAGGTGTCTGCGAAAGGCAGTTTGCGCTCAATGTTCTTTGTGTCTCTGCTCTACGCTGGCTTTTCCAGCATGTCAAGGAATTTCCCGATCCCACCATGGGCAAGAGCTCTCGGAGCAACTCGAGGTTGCCTGTTCCGATTCGTTTCAGACTAATATATCTGTTTGCAGATCTGTTTGCATCATTACTAAGCAGTGTTCCAAGGCTCAGAAGACTCCGAAGCTGGAGGAAGCAGGAGATAGCTGTAGCCCCGGTGTCCAGTGGGGTCTCCCAGTGGGACACGCCTGTTTGCCTGCCATCGGCAAGCACGCTGGATCCCCTGGTTGGCACAGCAGACTGCGAAGACAGAGGAGCAAAGCGCGCTACCGTATTCACAAGGCCGCGTCGCCGGGACGCCGGCCCGTCCTCAAAGATCTGCGACGGCTTCTCAATCACCACAGCTCCCCGATCATGGGGCAGTCAAGGATGAGTCGCGGGTGGCTGTGAGGAAAGCGGCAAGCGTAATAATCAAAAGACCATGACTTCTCTCATGGGCTTCGTCGTGCAAATGTCGACACAGAGCCTTGCAGCCTTGCACCAAGCCAAGGGTTGTCTCGGAGATGAAGGGCTGCGTCGGCCGACTCGGGGTCGGAATCAAGTTGACCCCTTGCGACGGCCCATACGCGCGCAAAGCAAATCATATTGCTGGTCAACTTCCGCATGCCAACATGCAACGGGTAAGCCCACGAGACGGTGCTGCAGCGCTTGAGACGCTTCATGTCTAGAGGTGGCATTGCGCTGGACAGCCTTGCGTCTGCAGTCGAAGTACGGCCCTTCTGACACAACTCTCTGATATTGCACAGTGGTCCTCCTTAAGATGAAGGGCCTCAACATCGAGAAGCACGCAGGAGGGCATGGAGAAGTCCCGCCAAGCGAGTCTATGCCGTATACCAAGACAGCCATGCATGGCCTGGACCAGCATGGCAAGACTCGAAAGTCGAGGGCAGAATAGCACCGGCCCCCCCACGATCCTGGCCTTCGTGTTTCCAGCCCTCTACTATCTGGTCCCCCTCGTTCTCGTCTTCGTTCGGAGCTTCCACTTCCTGTATCCGGAAGAAATGGAGTAGGGCATGTCTGGCGGCGTCCTGGCCAGACACTGCCTTTGTCAGCTCTGTGTCCAGTCGTTGCATTTCCTTCTGATAGCGATCTTTCTCTTTCCGCCATGGTCTTGTACGCCCATCGACTTGCTTCTGCAAGGAGAGTACCCGCTGCTCCGCCTTGCATGTACTGTTCAGGCTGGTCTGAAGCGCCTGTGTAAGTGATGGTGGTTGCATCGGATCGTCCTGCTCCATGTGGTAGGGCAAGTCCCAAGAGCCTCGGCCTCGTCTCTTCTGGTCGTACGAAGGGAAGGACATAACGACATAGTGGCTTCCTTGGGCCCACTGGGTTGTTTGGGCGACGCCCACGATCCACGCCAGTAGGCATTGCCATACAGTGCACTTTCCGACCAGCCCGAGCCCGGGCTAGTCGGTGGCTCTGGGAGCTCGATCGTACCCACTGCCCCGCATTACCTTCGCCACCACGTCCGAGCCCTCCGGTACAGTGTCCGAGCAGACCGCGTGCATTGTCTGCAAGGACTTGCTGACAACGTAGCTTTACAGAGCCTTCGGAACACTGCAAGGCTGCATGCCGCAGTTCGCAAGGCATATCCGCCCGCTCTGCACGTCGCCCAGGCTTGAAGCCTTTGCCAGTTCTGACGCCAGAGCGGGAACTTGCCACGTCAACCCGCGAACGGTGAGAGTGCTGGTGACAGCATTTTGCGCAGAGGAGGCAGGTGCCAAGCTTACCACTGATGAATACATTGACAACTTCAACCAGCAGCCGTGGACAGCTGCGCCACCACTTGATTTATCTTCTGTTCCCACGCTCAAAGACATCGCAGCCATTATCCTGCAGCTCAGGGCACGTAAAGCCGCAGGACCGGATGCGATATCCGCAGACTTGCTGAAGCTTGCACCACCAGCAGCGGCACGTCATCTTCTGCCGGCTTTTCTTAAGACGACGTTGTCGCTACGTGAGCCCATTGAATGTCGTGGTGGTTCGCTTATGTGCTTGGCAAAAGGAGCGGGAGCATCTCTCAGGTGCGACCAATGGCGACCAGTTCCGATCCCTTCTCATCCTTGACGAGCCAGCCAAGGTATACCACAGTTTTCTCAGGTCACAGTTGGTTACCGTGCACGCAGGTACCAAGCCTGCCCTACAAGCTGGTGCTTTGGGAGGAACAGGCATTGAAGCCATTGCCCTTGTCGCCCGCATCTTCCAATCCCAGTGTCATGCTCTCCGCAAGCTTTAGGCACTCGCGTTTGTTGGTGTGCAGGCAGCTTTCTACAAGGTGGTCCGACAAGCCGTGTATCACCATGATGAAGATGATCGAGCATAGCTCGCGGTGCTTCACGGCATGAAGCTACCACCAGCTGCGGTGACAGAGCTGCACGGACAGCTCTCCAGTCTTGCGATACTGCCAGACCTGGGCGCAACGCAGCAGGTCCAGGAAATCGTCAATGATATGATTCAAAGCACGTGGTTTTGGGTCGATTCGTACGACCTTTTGACCTGGACGACACTGCGACATACTGTTTGCGCTGTCCCTCAGCGTCTTCCTCAAACAAGTACATGTCGCACTGGACAACACGGGTCTCCTTCCTTCCCTCGGAACGGCCGTGGACGACGATGCATGGGCACATGATAGCACCCAGCACGTACCAGCCAACGGCCCGCTGTCCTTGGGCGCGCCGGCTTGGGCTGATGACTTCTTTCTTCCGCAGCAAGCTGCTGACAGGGCCCAACTCATTGGACAGTTGAACACAGGCTTCGCTAGCTGGCGCCATCGGCATGCGCCTTACGTTTGCCGCGGAAAATACAGCCGTGCTCCTGCCCAAGTTTCCAGTTTTGTCACCACGGACCACAGATTGCCACAGATGGGGACTCTGCTGGCTTGTGCGCACGGGATCCCCTCAGCCGTGAGGACCATGCTCTCCCCGTCGTGCTTGCTTACTGACACCTCGGAGGGATTCTGACGTCCAGCGTCACTACGCGGCCAGATGTCCTTTTGCGTCAAGCCTCTTCGCGGCAAGCTTGTTGGCGCGCCCGCCATCCCCCTGGAATTACGGCGCTCTCTGCTGCTGCCTTGTCACGGCTGGTCCACACCAGTGCCGCTTTGATACTTCCCAACGCGCTGAGCCAACGGATTTGGGATCGCGCGTATTTGCACATCCTTCGCACGTTGCTCCCGCGCAAGCGATAGAGCTCCACTCCTACTCAGTGCTGCTAGCAGCCAGGGCGCCATTGCTGCCTCTCGCCGCAGCAAAAGCCCGAGCAGCCTTTTTGGTTCAGCTCACCCATAATGGGCCTGCGGTCCTGCGACACCTGCTTGTGGCCCATCGGCGTGCCTAGCCTGCGAGCTCATGGCTGGCACAGCTTGAGGCCGATGTTAGCATTGACACGAACATATCCTCTGCTTGACTCCTGGCCGCTCTCTGTCTGGATCCCCTACCCTCTCCATCACCACCGAGTATGCTGATGCACTTCAACCCCCCAGACCCTCTAAACCCTACACCCCGACCTCCAAACACGATTCCTAGTTTGGGACTCGCCTTTTTGTAGGGATCGTGTCTCGAGGCTTCCGCGCAACACCAAAATCGGCTAACAACCTAAACCCCTGCCCCCCTGCTCCCGATGTCAAAATGACCCAAAACAGGGGCTACAATGGGGGTGGGTGGGGGGTGGCTGAACGCACGAAGCTCCCTGGCCTTCATCAGGTGGAGCACGCTGCTGCGGCTGCTGCCTTTGGCGGCTCCTCCTGCGTCGTCGCCTATGGCGCCACAGGATCTGGGAAGACGCACTTGGCCACGCGTTTGATGGTTTGCCAATATACCATGCAGAGCCGTTATGCGATGACTTGTCTCTCCAGATCTTTCGGCTTATGTGGGCTGCAGTTCCTGAGATCCTTCGCGAGCTCCGGTTCTTTTCAGGGCCCCAGCAGAGTTTAGGAGCAGGGCTCGTCATTGCGATCGCCTCGGTGGCTTTCTGCTGTGGCTGCTGCCTGGGGATTTCTTTGACTGCCGTGGCCCTCTCCAGACAGGTGAGGTACTTCGCCAGTTGGATCTTGATCGCTTCTGCCAACGCCTTAGCAGGCCGAGTGGCGGTTGTGGACACACCTGCAGCCGCCGTCGAATACCTTGAATGAGCGGAGGGGAATCGGTTGAGGATCAGTTGGTCATTTCCTTTGCTGGTCTTCGGATTTCTATTGCCAGGGAGTCAGGCGCCAGGGGTTCACCTTTGGCGGCAGATTCGTCGACAGGCGCCCGGGCCACTACCGGACCCCTTGCTGGGCCTTTAGGGGCCAGGGAGTTCGCCGAGGAACCTCTGCGAGACCGCTTCCGTCTGAACACGCCTGAGGAGGAGCGACTGCTTGCCAGCACCACCCCTGCCGAGATCGGTGCCTTCGAGTTGGGACACCTGGCTTCTTCAGCAGCCAGCCTGGCTCCAGTGGGGCCTTGGACTCCACGAGGCCGGCTGGCTAGAGCTTATCGTGCCGGGTTGTTCGCCTTTGAGGTTATTGAGGGTGCCAGGGTTGTGCCAGAGCCCACGCCGCACCTGGAACTTCGGAACAAGTGGTATATCTGCTTGCAGAGCCGGGCAAGACCCGAGGGCTTTGTAACTTCGTCGTACAGGACCTTCATTCGCCTCTGCCCTCACGAGAGCGACGGCCGACTGGAGGAAGGCAGCGTTTCCCACGGGTTTGCATCGAAAGCAGAGGTCATTGCCTACTTGGCCGGAGCCAGGGCGCAATGGCCACCAGAACTGTAGACGAGGCTTTCTGCCGGGGCCTCCTGGCGGGAGCCCGTGTGGGGAAGCCGCTGCCCATGCTCTACTACCTGGACAGGACCGAGGAACCTACATGGAGGGCGCTGGGTTACCTGCTGCAGTGCCGGAGGAACGGGTTCATGGTGATATTGCCTCTGGAGGTCTCCGTGAAAGCTCAGTTGCAGGCGGCAGCGGAGGATGCCGAGATCGAGCCACCGATCTTCGCCGAGCTGGAAGTGGAGTGCGAGACACATCGGAAGAGGCCGGTGGGACCTGTGACGGCGTTGTTCTGCGACCTGCCTTGGGCCGCTTTGGGCAGCTTTCGGAAAGCCCAGACCGGCCGAGTGGCCCTGGTGACTCACACTATCCTGAGCTCCGACCGCGCCGTGGTGAGGCCTTTGGTGGAGTCGGCGCTGGAGGTGGCCGACCGATGGGTGTCCGATTCCCTGGTGGGGGAGGCCGCCGAGACCGGGCTGGCGGAGTATGTCACCGGCGAGTCGGGCGAGGAGTTCGAGCCGGAGCCCGTGCGAGTATCAGTGCTCAGCTGCAAAGGTTGGAGGCCCAAGCTGCCCAGCCTGCTCCATCGGAGGCGCCGCCAGCAAGACGACAACCACGAGCTCCTGCTGCACGAGCTTTGTTCCCGGCCGAAACAGGCGAACCCGAGCTGGGCCCCCAGGATTGGAGGCGACTGCAACAGGCAGCCGGCGCAGCACCGCCCGGCCTGGCTCGGCACGAACGACAGGCTCGGCCCCAAAAGGCTTTGGGCGAGGACGTGGCTTTGCACGAGCAGGACTTGGAGGCCAACGAGGGCGAGCTGGACTTTGCGGGGGGGTCCAACGAGGCCTTGCTGAAACTGCTGGCAACCCAGACTCAACTGCTGGCGAAGCTCGCCACCCCGAAGGCCGTGGACCCGATCACATCGGCATTGGGTTCAGGAGGAGGCTCGGGCAGCGAAGGCGCCAATGTCTCAGGCGCTCGGGGCATGGTGGCGCGGGAAGCTTACCTGAAGGCATTGGAGAAGCCGACCGAGTTCAGTGCCGCCATCGCCCGCCGTGCTCAGGCAGAGTTAGGCTGGAGCCAGCAGACCCCGGGCATGATGAGATCGTATCTGGAACGCAAGGTCCCGCTGAAAGACCATCGCACCTTGACATTGATGGGATTTTACCTTGCTCACATGTGGGAAGCAGCTCGGGAGTCCGGAAACATCGAGTTCGAGAGCTGGGCGAGCCGGGGACTGCTGATGGTGGAGCAATGGGCCATCGACAACGGCCGATCTCAGGCGGCCTGGTTGCTGAGCGGTCTTCCAGCAAGTCAATGAGTCTGAGTTGGTAGG